TATGTTATGTAGGCAGTTGAGGGTGGTCCAGCCTCGGGCTGAAGGCCAATAGACTCGGGTGGACTAGCGTTGTGCTAAAGGCCAAGTAGCGGACCAGCTTTATGCTAAGGGGAAAAGTAGCGGCCCAACTTTATGTTGAAGGCAAAAGGGCGGATCAACTTTATGTTAAATGTCATTATGTGTATTATTGGTGAACCGGTAAATGCTCGTGAGCCATTATGTGTATGCATTGTATATGTATTGTGGGATATGATATTTTAGGGAACTCATTAAGCTTCATGCTTACCCAGTTGATTATAAATGTTTTTCAGGTACTTTATTGATTCGTGAGAAATGCAAGGTTTGACTGTACACACGCACATTCGTAACATGTTTCCGCATAATGTAACTATACTTTGATATATTTGAATAAAAAAATTGGGTTGATAATGTTAACATAATCTTCGTTGTAAAATGTCTATATATTGGGAGTTAATGGCAATAGAGAAATCAAGGAAATTATTTAGAATAACAAGATATATGCAGGGACGGTTCCACTATGGTGCCCATAGTGGCACCGGCAACCCCTTATTTTTTCGGATACAGTGTAAAAATTTTCGAAATTTTCGTTTTTTCTATATTTGTGTCACTACGTAAAAGGAAAAACGTGCCACCAGCAACACCTACTACGAAATCCTTGGTCCATCCCTGGATATATGGTTCTTATTCTTTCCGATGTTTCTTATTTCTTAAGTATATTTCTTTAGTATAATTGTTTGTTCTTTTATGTTCTTCTTGTTATTTTTTGGTTTATGTTTTCTATCTACAAAGTTCTTTTGTGATTAACTTTTTTTTAGATAATTGTTTCCGGAAATGTGGTATTAGAGTCTATTTGTTCTTCAAAGTCTAGTTATCCCTTTACAAAGTTAATTGAATGTCGTCGATGTTAGTAACAAAAGTAATAATAAATCAAGAGACAGAAAAGTACTCCAAAAGGCACGTTAGTTATTACCAAAGTATTTTAGATTAAAATCAAAAGCCAGAAACATAGAAGTATAGAACTACGTAAGTTTAAAAGGCCCAAGAATCGATTACATTGGGCCAATTAAATGTTTAAAATGGATGTATTCGAAATCAGATGGATAGATAAGTTAACCGAGAAAAACCCGACCCGGTTACCGATTCAAACTTATAAAACCAAAACATAATTTTCTGAAACCATGCGATCCTTCCACCTTCACTCGCTATTCAATCATCGTCTTCTTCCTCCGAGAAATCAGTGGCTCTACCGGAAGATTTCAACGCCGGTTCTTCACCTTGCTCTTCTTCATCTTCATCATCATCATCATCATCTTCGTCTTCAATTGTTTGTGGCGCTACACCTCTATGGTCCTCTTCATCATCGTCTATTTCCTCCTCTTTTTCTAATTCCTCTGGCAAAATAACGTCTTCCGGCTCCGCATCATCTTCATCATATGGTGATTCGATGTTATGTGGTGCAGGAGCTTTTTCTGATCCTTCAATGGTGGGAGATCCGAGTGTTGTTTCTTCCGAAAGTTTGGTGAACTCTTCTACCTGTGCAGCATCAACCTATAGGTATTTCCATTACATAAAAATCAAATTGCAATATCATTAATTGATTGCTCGTATTAGAATGATGTTCTTTTGACATTTGATCTACGTATCATAATAAAGGAGTATGCAATTAGCGATTGTTATACAATTTTTCACAAAAATCACCTGTGAATTATCGCATGAACAAATATCTGACTTAGAACGATGAACAACTATTGTATATAGTATTTTCCGGATCTAATTATGCTAACATAACGTTAAAATTCAATCATATTTATCATGAGAAGAGGAAATTAACAAGATGTATATCATTTTAAACATATTTAATTGGTTATAATGTAAACAAATTAACATGATACAAGAACGAAGACATGTCTGCAACAGTTAAGAGGGAGAAAAACCTGAGCAGCGGCCATGTAGCTACTGAGATGATGAATTAGTGAAGCACAAGTAGAGGGATTGAACAAAACTAGTACAGTTTGCAATGATAGTATTGGGTAGAGAATGACGGCATATTAATAAGCAAAAAGGCATGGTATGGTGTAGGTGTAGGGTGGGTGGGTAGGAAGAAGCAAAGGAATAATTGGAAGGGGGAAACATGGGTAAACTGATAAAGATGCCCGGTTGCTATTGTCTCAATTAGTATCTATTAGACTGTATTTGTTACGCGAACAGGACTGAACAAGTTTTCAGGAGTTATTTTCAATTATAAGAACGATAAGGGCATTCATGTCTTTTGCACAAGCATGATTTTCAAATGCACACCAAACACAGCACACAACAATGGGGTTCATGTTTTTTTTCTTAACTACTGGTTAGTGGTTAGTGGTTAGCAGTTAGTATCACCCAAGCTATAACATTTTTTTGCATGATAAACGCAAATCCTTACTTTTTTTTTTTTTTTGACATTGAGCATGTTTGCAACTACTTAAAAAAAAATAAAAAAAAATAAAATAAAAACATGAATGGGGACATGAACACAATTTTTTATATTTTTGCCGTTAATTAAACAAAGTTTGATGATAGCAATAGCTTCATCTCCAAAACAAAATGGCAGTATTCTTTTGGAGATATAGTTGTTATGCTTTAGAGAACAAGATCTGCATTATGAAGACAAAGAATCAATTCCCTTCCACTTGTCAGTGTGTTATTGGCTTAGTTTTGCCTGAAGGTAGATGGTGTAATATGGGAGATGGGTCGTTTGGAGTATTATTGAAGGCTTAAGTTAAGATGCTTTGATGCTTGAAACCATTTGCGAAAGTTAGATGCAAAAGGATGTATGTGCTTGTCTTTTAGGAGGGCATTTCATTTGCCTTCTTTATGGTATTCCATGATTCCATCAACTTCAACTTGTGGCCTTCTAGCAAGGGCAATATAGACGTTTGTTCATGCTCCTTGAGCAAGTACTAGAGTGACATTAATTAGTCTAGAGTTGAATGTTATATGGACCGAGAAATTGATGTATGTGTATTTATGTTTTTGCAATTAACCCTAGTTAATTTTCCTAGGCAATATATTTACTATATCATTGGCAATCATGTGCATTATGGTGGTTTACCAAGAACAATTATCAAACACCGTGATTGGTCCATATGGTTTCATTTTCTTATATGGTTGGTCCTTAACCCAAAGAAAATTTCTATTTTACTTTTTTTGTTTTATTTTTTATTTTTTAGGGTTAATGTCATAAAAACCCTCAAGTTTTCAAGGTTTTGTCGGTTTTGCCCAAAGTTGAATTTATGTCCGTTTTTACCCTAACATTTTCGAAAAAAATGTTCGGTTTTACCCTTTTACCGGTGATAACAGGTTTCCAGGTTACCATTATATTAAATTCGCAAAAAAAACCCTTAAGTTTACCATTTTTTTGCGTTTTTACCATTAAGTTTATAATTTTTTTTACACTTTTACCCTAAGTATTTTTTTTCATAATATACGTATTCATGTAGAAAAATCGTATTTATATACGAAAAAATGTTTAATCATTTAAAAAGATAAATAATATTTTTAGAATTATGAATACATGTTTTATAGATATAGTTTTTAGAAGTA